TTTCAATACAAACGCAGTGTGCTCTGAAATGTGTCCTGTGGCTGCTATGACCACTGCTGGGTCTTGAGGCATGGAAAGTGGTATCCACTGACCCAATCAAGCCTGAACCAAGGTCCGGAGTAGCACAGATGAGTTTTCCTGATTTCCTGGGCAGTTGGCAATGTCACCTCCTGTAGGAACTTGCATTGCCGTCTGTTGCTATAACGAATTACCATGGATTTCAAGGCTTTAAACCTACTCATCTGTTTGCTGTACTGTGGTGGCTTGTGTGTTGTTGCTGCAAGTGATTCTACTGGGTCGTCCCCAGTGGACAGGTTTCTGCAGAGCTTCTAAATAGCTGACTGGGAAGACTGTATGAAGTATCCATTTCTGAGGACTTAGTCCCTGGAAATGTTAATAGTAGCAGCAGCATATTGTCTGATATAGTGACTGTAGATGAGTTCTTTATGTTGAGAGACACTCTAAAGAGGCCCTGAATGATATGGATGGAGCAAAGCTTTACTGACCTTCACTGACTGATGGAGCACAACCCAAATGAGACAAAGTAACTGCAACGCCCACTAATAATCAGTTACTATTCACACACAGGGAGTGTACGAAGTATCAATCTAGAAAAACTGGAAGTCTTCAGAAATGAAATGGAATCAGACAACCATATGACTTACTATAATGGGAATGACAAATTCATGAGGGATGGCGCACATCCATCATAAAAAGGAACATTTCATGGTCTATCTTGAAATATAATGTTATCTGTGATAGGATAAATTTTATATGACTAGAAAAAAGATATGTTAATACAACTATTATTCAAATGTATACACCAAACACCAAATTTAATGACGAACTAGCTGAATTCTAACACTACTTCAGTTTGAAATTGATCCAACATTCAATCAAGATGCAATGATAATTACTGGTGATTGGAATGTGAAAGTTGGAAACAAAGAGGAGGGATCAGTAATTGGGAAATACTTCAGTATTTCCTTAGTGATACAAATGAGGCTGGAGACACAAATAGAATTTTGCAAGACCAATGACTTCATCATTGCAAATACTTTTTTTCAGCAACACAGATGGCAACCACATACATGGTCCTCAACGAGCTCTGGTAGCATAGTGGTAATGAGTCAGGCTGCCAATCTCAGGGTCAGCAGTTCAAAACTTCCAGTGGTTCCATGGGGGAAAGGTGAAACTTTCTGCTCCCGTAAAGATTTACAGCCTAGGAAACCCTATACAGGATTCCTGTGAGTCAGAATCGACTCGACAGCATATAACCACCACCACCATCCAGATGGAATGCACAGGAATCACATTGATTATATCTTGGAGAAGAGACAATGGAGAAATTCAACATTATCAATCAAAGCAAGCTCAGGGGCCACTGTGGAATAGATCATCAATTGGTCATATACAAGTTCAAGCTAAAGCTGAAGAAAATCAAAACAAATCCAGGAGAGCAAAAACACAAGTTTTAGTATATTCCACCTGAACTTTAAGATCCGCTCAAGAATAGATATGACACATCGAACACTAATAACCAATGACCAGAAGAATTGTAGGATGACATAAAGAACATACATGAAGAAAGCAAAAAGTCATTAAAAAGACTGAAAAGAAACAAAAGACCAAAGTGGATGTCAGAAGAGTTTCTGAAACTTGCTCTTGAATGAGCAGTAGCTAAAGAACTGAAAGAATTGATGAAATAAAAGAGCTGAACAGAAAATGTCAAAGGGCAGGATGGGAAGACAGTCAAGTATTATATTGAAATGTGCAAAGACCTGGAGTTGTTAGAAAACCAAAAGAGAAGAACACGTTCAATATTTCTCAAGCTGAAATTCAAACAAACAACCTTCACTCGTTTGTGCCAAGAAACTTGGAAGACAGTTACCTGACCTGGAAGGGATTCATGTTGGCGCCCATTCCAAAGAAAGATGACCCAACAGAATGTGGAAGTTATCAAATACTATCATTAATATCACACACAGTTGCAGCAACAGTGGGCTCAAACACAACACAATGGTTCGGATGAAGCAGAACTGAGCATTCATAGCAGACCATGAATCATAGCCAACTTGACTGCACCTAACAGCAATAAGAAATGGTTTCTAGTAAAGCACAATTATTATCTTGCAGTTCCCCAGGTCAGAGTGTAAACTCAGCACCCGTAGGCTAAGCTGTTGGCAGGGCTATCTTCCTTCCAAAACTCCAGGAGGAAATCTGCTCCCTTGTCTTCTCCATCTTCTAGAGGCCACCTCCATTCCTTGACTTGTGGCTTCTCTTCCATCTTCAAAGTCCACAGCATAGTGTCTTTAGATGTCTCTCTGATTTGGACCTTTCTGCCTCCTCCTTTCGCTATCTATCTGGATCATGCAGGACCATTTCTCCATCGCTGGATCTTTAGCTGAATCTCATCTGCACCGTCTGTTCCCTTTTCCAGGTAAAGGAACACATTTCAAGATTAGGAACTTGAGCTTCTATTTTGCTGGCCACAGTCCCTTCATACCACCTCCTGGGGCACAGTTGTCCTTTAGCATGGCAGGTACCTAAGCTGTGCAGCAGATCCTGCCATGTGCCCCCTCACGAGGACACACGAGCCAAGGCCTTCTCCACCACCTTCACCCAAGTCATCCTCGGTTGTCCCGGCAGCTACACTTTAACACATCTCTTTGGTCAGAAACGACAAGGAGAGATTTTAATGTTCAAGGATACTTCTCCATTTTGAGAACCTTTTCCCTACAGGAAGAAAGGAAAAGAAGCAAATCATCACACACCTGTGAGGTCTCTCAAACTCTCCAAAAGGAATCCCCTTCCCTCTCTTTTGGGTCCTTCTTAAGTCTTCCTTTGGTAAAGAGCCCAAGGTTACATGCAGGTAGGAATCTGACTGCCAAGGACAGGGCTCTCTTGGAGTTTGGTGGTGGGTGGTGGTGGTTATGTGCCGTGGAGTCAGTTCCGAGGCTGTAATTCTTTATGGGAGCAGAAAGCCTCATCTTTCTCCCACGGAACAGCTGGTAGTTTCGAACTGCTGACCTTGCAGTTTGCAGCCCGATTCGTAACCACTGTGTTACCAGAGCTCTTAGAGTTTAGCCTTCCGGAATTGAGTGCCTTCATTTCTCAGTGTGGCAGGTCCCAGGTAATCCCTGAGCTGTTCCAAAACTGTTTGGGAAGAGCAGAAAAAGCAGTTCCATGGACACTCTGGGCACTGGTGGTTCAGTGGTAGAATTCTAGTCTTCCATGCGGGAGAACCTGGTTTGATTTCGGCCTATGCGGGACCCGTGCAGCCAACAACTAACTGTCTGTCAGAGCAGGCAAGTGTGTTTCACTGACACTTAACAGGTTTCAGTGGGGCTTCAGACTAGGAAGAAAGGCTTGGTAAGCCACTTCTGAAAATCAGCCTATAAAAACCCTGTGCATCACAATGGACCACCCACAACCAACCCTGTGGGGGTGCAGGCCAGGGCAGCCTTTTACTCTGCTGTGCATGCGGTCATCATAAGTGGTTCTGTCTTAGCTGATGGAACAGTGTTCCCGGTCTGTCTTCCATCCAGACTGGGCGCACCCTCAGGAGAGGAGTTGTTCATCTTGTTCACTGTGTACCTCCAGCACCTGGAAAAGTGCTGGCACAGAGCATGTGCTCATTAAATAGTGGTTACCCTGTTCATATGGCCAGTTGGCACCTTCCACTGGGGGCTGATCTATAGCCGTCATCGTCCTGAGCACACATAGGTAACGTCGCCTGGCCTCACCACACTCTGACAGAAGAGGGAAGTGAACATCAGGGAGTCCAACTAGCTCACGTCAGGGGCTGTGCTGAGATTTGAGTTCAGGTTTCCTTCATACCAGGGGTCACAAGCTTTTTACATAAAGGGTCATAGGCTAAATGTTCTCAGATTTGCTGGCCATGTGATCTTTGTTGCAGTTAGTCAACTTGGCCACTGTAGCACAAAAGCAGCTGTTAGACAGTCGCTGTCCAGTTGAGTCCACTCAGAAAGACCTCATGTGTGTTGGAGTAGAACTGTGCTCTGTAGGGTTTCCAATGGCTGATTTTTCAGCAGATCACCAGGTCATTTCTTCCGAGGTATCCCCAGGTGGGCTCCAACCTCCCAGTTAGCAGCCAGGCGCATTAACCATTTGCACCATATGGAACAGTAAAGACCATATGGCAATGAATGGGTGTGTCTGCACTTCAATAAAATTTTATTTACAAAAGCAGATCATGGTTGGCTACCTAAAATGGGGGAGGGGGAAGGCTATAAAGGCACAAAGTGACTGGCTTACAAGAGGGAGTTTAGTTTCAGAGTGTGCAGGGGAAGGTACAGTCCCCACTGAATAGTTTTCATCTTGTCTAGACAGGTCTGGTGAAAGGAGATGGGGATAAGATTCTTATGATTCAATAGTGAGTAATTGTTATCATAACTAATTGCGACAGTCTCGGCTGTAAAGATACAAGTTTTGTAACATAAAGTGGGGAGTAGTTACAGTCCAGAAACAAAGGACATGGGGCCATCAAAGGAGAAGAGCACAAGTGGAATGTGGGATCTTATCCAGAGAAGCAGCAACACCAGAGATGGAGACAGAGATGGGGACATGGAGAGAGGGAGCAGCTGAGGACTCTAGACTCATGGAAAGAGAGGGACTGGGTTCTGGCGGCCAGGAGGCAGGTTTGTAGAATGTGCCCTTTGGTTGTTTAAATGATTATATATCCTTGAGTGTTTTTGTATACATTCCCTCCCCATCAAAAATAAATAAGTAAATAGAGGGAATAGAAGCAAATACTGTTGAATGGTAATGCACAGAGGAGATTGCAATCATTGCAATGAAATGAAATACAATAGGATGAGTGCCAAACCGATATTCTCCCATATAAACTATCTATCACTCAATTCACAATAAAACCTTTAAAAAAAAAAAAAGCAGCTAGTGGATGGGATTCAGCCCGTGCACCAGGGTGGGCTGACTCCTGCTCTATACTGCCTGCTGTGCCTTTCAGGTCACTGAGGATGGCATCCTGGACCCCTCTGGAGTCCCAGTCCTTCAACCACAGTCTGCTTTCCTCTCCAAAGCCCACGTCCTGTGAAAATGCTCCGGGTGCTTGGGACCTGCTGCACAGGGCACTCCCACTGCCCATCATCACCATCTGCTGCTTCGGCCTCTTGGGGAACTCCTTTGTCCTGTCTGTCTTACTCCTGCTCCGGCAGCGTCTGAACGTGGCAGAAATCTACCTGGCCCACCTAGCAGCCTCTGACCTGGTGTTTGTCCTGGGCTTACCCTTCTGGGCAAAGAACATCTGGAACAGGTTCAACTGGCCATTCGGGGCCGGTCTCTGCCGCGTGGTCAACGGGGTCATCAAGGCCAACATGTTCATCAGCATCTTCCTGGTGGTGGCCATCAGTTACGATCGCTACCGCGTACTGGTGGACCCAATGGCCAGCCGGAGGCGGCAGCGGCAGCGATGGCAGGCCCAGCTCACCTGTGTCCTCATCTGGGCCGTGGGGGGCCTCCTGAGTGTCCCCACATTCCTGCTGCGAGCCATCGATGCCGTCCCTGATCTGAACATCTCAGCCTGTGTGCTCCAGTTCCCCCAGGGGGCCTGGGCCTGGCATTTTGTGAGGATGGTGGAGTTGAACATGCTGGGGTTCCTCCTGCCTCTGACTGCCATTGTCTTCTTCAACCACCACATCCTGGCCTCCCTGCGCAGGCGGGCAGAGGTCCTCAGGACGAGGTGTGGGGGACCCACGGACAGAAAGACCACAGTGCTGATCTTCACACTCGTGGTCACTTTCCTGGTCTGCTGGACACCTTACCATTTCTTTGCCTTCGTGGACTTCCTGATCCGGGTGCAGGCTCTCCATGGCTGTTTCTGGGAGGACTTTTCAGACCTGGGCCTGCAGTTTGCCAACTTCTTTGCTTTCATCAACAGTTGCCTGAATCCGGTGATTTACGTCTTCATGGGCCGGCTTTTCAGGACCAAGGTCTGGGAGCTTTATAAACGGTATACCCCTAGAAGCTCAGTCCCCACATCCTCACCCCCATAGGAAAGAGTTCCTCCAACTTTCCTGGAGGAATTAAAACAATGGTGAATCAAGAAAGTTGGTGTCTTTAGACCTAACTTCTACACCATGAATACTCCTGTGGTTGGCTGTGGTCTCCACAGATACCCACATCCTGGACACTGTGATGGGTATTGTTAATGGTCAAGTAGACTTTACAGATGGAGCAGAAAGAAAGATCCTGAGAATAGGAGATCATTCGCTTAACTCAGGTAATCACAGAGCTTTTATATGAGGGAAGTAAAAGGAGATCTGACAATGGATATAGGAGTTGTGATGGTGGAAGAAAGAAAAGGGTGTGAAGGGGGTGTTGCAGAACAAGGCATGTAGGCAGCCTCTACAGCTGAAATAAGAAATGGGTTCTCCCAACAAGCCTTCACGAACATGGCCTTTCTGACACCTGGACATCACCATTGGCATTAATTTTGGACTTTGACTTTCAGAATTCTAAGGGAATAAATTTGTGTTCGTTGTTTTTTGTTTGTTTAAATAATTTTTTTTTTTTTAATGTGTGGCAATTGATTACAATGGCAATAGGAAGTGAGGTCAAACATCCAGTGAAAGTCTATTATAATATTTCCATTTAGTCATTCAAAAAAAATGTGGGCTACCTGCTAAGAATACAGAGATATTACACCTAGAGACCTATGTATAAGGAACGTGTTGTCGTTGTGTGCTGTTGAGTCAGTTCCAACACCTAGCAACCCTGTCTAGTGTTTCAGAGATTGTAACTCTTTGTGAGAACAGAAAGCCTCATCTTTTCCTTGTGGTGTGCCTAGTGGTTTCAAACCACCAACCTTATGGTTTATAGTCCAGTGCTTATCCTACAGAGTTACTGACCGTGCTCCATATGTATCTATATATCATATACATATATCGCTATAATGTGGAGTCCTGGTGGGGTCAGATGGAGGCAGAGGGCAAGAGGTTGGGTCTGATCATTCTTTATTCTAAACACCACGCTAGGCACTGTAGGATACCCCAGCAACATCCCTGGCCTCCTCTCACCAATGCCAGTAGAATCACTGCCCACCCCCCCACCCCCGCAGTTCTGACAATGAAAGATGCCTCAGACATGGTTACGTGTCCCCTGGGTGCAAACTCACCTTCCTCCTCCCAGTAGAGAACCACGTGTGAGCTGAGCTGACCCAGTAATGTCTTACAGAAAGGGGTAGCTGAGGGAACATCTTGGAGTTGGAAGGTCTTGAGTCCTTGGAGGACCGAACCAAGGGAGGGGAGACGTGGTTCAGGACAAGCCAATGGAGGTAAACACCGACAGCAGAAGCAATGCCGCAACCACCGAGCCTGCCAATCTCTCAGACCTGCACAACTATAAGGGTTTGCTGACGTCATGGTCCACCACCTGTCCATGTGTCCTACTGAGGTGGCATGCAAGTTGCTGTGATGCTGGAAACTCTGCCACCAGTATTTAAAAGCCCAGCAGGGTCACCATGGTGGACAGGTTCCCGCGGAGCTTCCACTCTTAGGCAGACTAGGAAGAAAATTCGCCAATGGATCAGGAAAGACTACTGTGGGCTAGAGTGCTGGAGGATGAGCCCCGTGGGTTGGAAGGCGCTCAGAATCCACAGCGGTCACAGCAGTAGCCTCAAACATAGCAGTGATGATGGAGGTGGTACGGGACCACACAATGTTGTTCACGACACATCAGGAATCCCAGCCAACTCAGTGGCAGCTAGCAGCAACAACAGAATCTCTCCATGAGAACACAAAGTGACATCACTTTAAAATAACGCACTACTATTGATTTTGGAGTCATTCCCTGGTGTTTCCTAATTATGGATGTTGTTAAGTGTGTCGAGTTGGTTCCAACCCATAGTGACTCTATGTACAACAGAAGAAAACACTGCCCGGTCCTGGGCCATCCTCACAGTGAACCCACTGCTGCCGCCAATGTGCCAGTCTATCTCATTGGGGGTCTTCCTCTTTTTCTCTATCATTCCACTTCACCAAGTATGACGTCCTCCTCCAGGGACTGGTCCCTCTTGATAAGGCCTGAAGTATGAGAGACTAATTTTCGCCATCCTGGCTTCTAAGGAGCATTCTGTCTATACTTGTTCCAACACAGATTTATTTGTTCTTTTGGCAGTCTATAGCACTTTCAATATTCTCCTCCAACACCATTACTCAAATGCGTCCATTCTTCTGCTGTCTTCCTTATTTAATGTCCAACTTTCTCATGCATGTGAGGTTACCGAAAATACCATGGCTTGGATCAGGTGCACCTTAGTCCTCAAGCTGACATCTTTGCTCTTCAACACATTAAAGACGTCTTGTGCCACAGATTTGCATAATGCAATAATGCATCATTTGATATCTTCATGGCTTACACCTGTGCTTCTCCCAGCATTAGTTTCTCCATCCAAGCTTGTGAATGGGGAGAGGTGGGACTATGAAAGAGTGAGCAAAGGAGGCGAGGACCCATCCTGAACCAAGTCTGGACACTCTGAGTAAAGACAGGTGCACGTGGGCCTGTGTGGTCAGGTGAGCATGCCGGTGCTGAGTGGGATCCTGTCTTCACTGGAGGTGCTGATTTTGTGATCACAGTGGGTGTTTCACACTTATTGGAATTTTGTTACACGTTGCATTTTAATGTGATTTATCTTGATCACTGATTTGCTTAAAAATTTGCTTTAAAGTTTACTCCCAAGAGCAGGACCTCACTTGCCTCCCCCTAGTCCTCCCTGAAGTCCTGGTGTGGCACTGTGGGATCTGCAGGGCAGGCGATTCAAGCCAACCAGCCATTCTCAGAAACCCTATATGTGGTCATTATGAGTTGGAACCAATTTGACAGTACACAACACACCAGTCGTCCCTGAGGAGGGGTTGGCTGGGCTGCATTTCCTATAAGATACCTATCAGACAGGTTTCACACTCACCTGTGGAGAGCTTCTCTCAGAAAAAAACACCTCAGTTCCTTATCAGAATAGAAAGCACATAGATTGCCTCAGTCCTCAAATGCTCCCTCATCCACAAGGATCATATCCCAGCCTCAGGGATGAAACAGGCACCTGGTGTGTGTTACCATCAGTCCAGTGTTTACCTGGAGGAATCAATCGTGAAATTAGAAGACATTTTTTCCTCAGTGTCCTCAGCCAAAAGAAAAATGCCACAGACAAGCCTTGTCAAATGGCTAAAATAGCTGGGATTCTTCCAAGGCCTTCCACCACCACCCCACCCCACCCCACCACCCACCCCC